ATAAAGGGGGCGGGTGGTGTGTGTGCATGCTGGGGGGGCGAGCCAGTGGAACGAAGTTTGCTCAGACCTCTCTCCTTTCCTAAAGGTACTACCTGGACCCTGGGGGCAATGATGGGTGGTCCAGAGCAGGGCCCATGCATCATTGCGAGTAGATTATGCCACATTTCCCCAACCCCAGACGCCTCAGGCCTAACCCATGGGCATTAATTTATAGCATAAATCCTTTAGGCTATGGTTCGTAGGACTGTGACTATGGTCTCACTGTGTACTGAGGCGGTGCAGGACACAGTACAGGACATTTGGGCTGAAGCCATGTCATCTTGGGCTGGTCACTTAACTTCTAGAGAGTTTTACTCATAACACTGCTGTGGCTAGGATAAATGAAATAAAAATTAAAGAGATTTCTAATTAAATGGATTCTTGGAGGTCATCTTGACTGACTGCCTCGTTTGGCAGATGAAAAACATTGATGTACAGAAAGGAAGATTTACTAACTCAGAATTGCCTGGTGAATAGAAAAGCAAGGGCAAGGGCCTGGGTGTCTCGGTCCCCAGCCCAAGGCTTGCTGTGACCCGTCAGATAGTGGTTTAGGTTCCTGCCATCTCTCCATGCCCGTGGGCAGAGAGAGGACATTCAGCATAGACCACTTCTGGAATGGGAGATGTCTGAGAGAAGAGGGGAGAGAAGTAACCCCTGCTAGGGATAAACCCAGCTCAGTGTGGTCCAGGCCAAAGGTGGTCTTTGTCAAAGGTGGTCCAGAAAGGAAAAGAACCAAGTATGACATGGCCCAGTGCAGAGATGGCCTCAGAACAAGCCATGGGTTGAAGACAGAATGGCCTGGAGAGACTTGGACCCAAAATGGCCTAGGCCAACCTCCTTATGTTGGTTCCTTGCATTGAAATAAACCCAGGGAAGTTAGGTCCCGTTGTGGCATAATCTACTGTGGGTGAGATGTGCATTTCTCTTCATGGCTGTTCACGTGGCTGACCTGACCAGTCTTTGTCTCTTGTTCCCACCCCCACCTTCTTCTTACAGTGTGTGGTCAGCCCTCCCGCTCCCTGCCCAGCCTGGTCAAACGAATCATTGGGGGCC